AGGGAGAGGGAGAGGGAGGGAGGAGGACAAAGGGAGAGGGAGAGGGAGATGGGAGAGGAAGAGGGGGAGAGAGGGGAAGAGAGAGGGAATGAATTGTGGGAGACTGAGGCAGGAGGATCACCGCAAATTGAGGCCTTCCTGGGCTATATGGTAAGTTCAAGGACAGCCTGAATTACATAGGAAAGAGAAGCCAGGTGTGGTGGTACATACCTATAATCTCAGCACTCAGGAGGCTGAAGTAGGAGGATAGTTGTGAGTTCTGGAGACTAGCCAGAGCTACAGAATGAGGTCAAGGCCTACCAGAACTGCATAGGGAGATGCTGTCTCAAAAAAGACAGACAGGGCCACCCAGATAGCTAGGCAGATTAAAGCACCTGCTTAGGTAGATGCGAAAATTGGAGTTCAATCCCTGGCACCCTGCCCCTGGGGGGAAACTGAGACAGGGATTGAGATGGTGTGGTGGCATGCACCTATAATCCTAGCACTTGGAAGGTTGAAAACAGGAGAATCACTACCAGTTGGGTCTGTGTAGTGAGACCCTGCAGACCCTGGACTACAAGTATGAGAATAAAAAAAAAAAAAAAGGAAGGAAAGAGGAAGCAGGCAGGCAAATTAAATTCAATAAATGTTACTATTGTTATTAGGAATGCTCATGAATTTAAATGAACACAATGTATATAAAATAGTATGCCACAAATACCAGAGGGATACAAAGATGACTAGTACAGCTCTTATCCACTGAACATGTGGGATAAAATAACATAAATATTTGCAACCCAAGCCAGAAAACCTACTTATGTCCAGGTGCTATCAATTCCATAACCAACCTAAGAAACCACTCAGTTTTCTATACATCTTAGGCATCTAAGTGGAATCCTGTGATTTGAGTATAGAAATTTAAACTTTTAACAAGGCAAATAATCACATATTAAATGATGGAACTCAGATACTGCAGAAATTTTAGGGAACAGGCTAATTAATGTCATCTGCACAGAGAGAGAAATTTAAAAGGAAGTTAAAATTTAAGATGGATTAACAGAGTAGACAGAGGGCACAGGAGTACTGCATTGCATTAGTTCACCACTGGCTTCAAAAATGTGTGTGACCTGGCCTGCCATGCCCACCCTGCCTGGAGCACACTGAGAGGGGGCTGGAGGCGTGGTTGCTTGTGCCTGTAATCCCAGCACTTAGGAGGTTGAAAACAGGAGAATCACTATGAGTCCAATCTAGAAAGTAAGATCCTTTGGGCCCTGTAGACCCTGCCCTAAATATAGGGGGAAAAAAAGTGTGTGAAAATCTGGCATGGTGGCACATGTAAGAGGCTCAGGAAAGAGCGTTGCCATGAGTTTGAGGCCAGCCTGGATTAGGCAGTGAGTTCAAAACCATCCTGAATTACACAGAGAAATCCCATCTTTAAAAAAAATCAAAGTAAAAAAAAATAAATAAAAATTAAAATGTGTATGGAGCCCTGGGGGGCACAAAGAGCATAAAGGAGGCAAAGTAAGAGTGCACGGTCTCACTGACAATTTTTTTTTTTTTTAAATGTATTTAGGGCAGGGTCTGGAGCGTCTACAGGGTCTCACTATACAGATCAAACTCATAATGATCCACCTATGTTCAGCCTCCCAAAAGCTGGGATTACAGGCATGCGCAACCATGCCCAGTCCCACAGTCTCAGCTCACCCTAGGAGTGGGGCCAACACAGCATGAACACTGGGGATCGAACCTGGTTGCTGTGTCTGCTAAGCAGGTGCTTTAATCCACTAAGCTATTTGGCCCGCCCTTCACTGAAAATTAAAGTAGGACTTATCAACTATCATTAAAAAAAAATAAACCTCACTAATCTAAAAACAGAATTAAAAGAGACACTGTATTATAAAATGGCTGCATGTCTCAACATGTACCAAAAAAAAAAAAAATTAATAATATGCAAAAAAAATTTGGTTTAACTGGTGGTAGTCTGAAATACTGTTACTTTGCATCTGTTGTGTGTATAATGTGGGCTAGAAAAGTAGGTATTTTTAGGACTTAAAACAATTACTGGCCAATTTTGAAGATATTCAATTATGTTTCCCTCTTATTTTAAGTTACTATTCCAGAAATGAACAAAAAAAATTGAAGTATTTTTACACAATCAATTAAAATATTTAAACTTTCCTGACAACATAAAATCATTGAAGATAGTATGAAGTGTTACATAAACTTGAAAATATTACCAAAGAAATACATTAAATAATTGCTTTCGGAAGAAGAAAACCTACTTTAGACCTGACCAATTATTCACTCAATGTAGTGTTATCTGCCAAAGTCATAACAGAAAGTATTGTAGAAGAGCAAAATTTACTCCATCAGGTCATGAATATTATTTTAACTTCCCTAAACATAAAAGTTTATGTTCACTGAGCACTTACAAGTACCAGAGCTGATGCTAAATACTTGACATACTTCAACTAACAAATTTAAGGTACATACAGAATATTATTATATCTCTTTCCCAAGTGTAGGAACGGTAACATGGAGAGTAACTCCCCCAAAATGATTTACCTCAAGAGACCAAATGACCAGATGACAAAGGCAGGTCTCCCCACCAGCACCCAGTGGATACATATAAGCCATCTCTTTTTTACCTTATACAAGCCTTTCTACAGCTTAGGTAAATTCTATTTTATTACTAATAATTTACTTACTAAATAAGTATTTATTAAAGATCTTTTTCTATATCAACAGTTCCTAGGAACTGAGAATAAGTGGTAAATAAGACTCAAGACTTCTAATGTCACTCACCCACTCACTGAATACATGCTAAACTCCAGGTATTGTCAACTGCAAAACGGGTTATGTAAAGATCTCTGCCAATGCAGAGCTTACTACACTCTAAGCTGATGTCAGACCACCAACAAGTAAACAATAAATACAAAAACTGATCACAAATGTGGTAAATATTCTAAGTACTATCAGGTACTATGGCAAATGGAAAGTTCCCTAGACTGGCAGGTCAGAAAAGGCCTCTCTGGAAGAGACTACAGTATGTGAGTTCCAAAAAAGAACTAAAACTAGCTAGGAACAGGAAGTAGGAGGTATGGGTATTGTAAATTAAGAGAACTGACCTCAAGGGAGAAAGACTGGACAAGGCCACTGAGGAACTGCAAAAAGACTGGTGCTAGAGCAGTATTTTTCAAATTAACACTAGGACTGATAGAGGAATATTAATATTAATATTAATTTTGCAAGTCACAGCAAGATGTTTAACATGTAATAGACTAGCCTAGAAAGTAGCAAAAATGTATCCCAAGAAGCCTGAGTACTCTTTTCTGAAACTCTTTCAATTTGAATTTACATGCATGAACTTAGCAGTAAATGTTAGTTGACAGTAGGTCAGGATCACTGAAATGAAAAAAATGGGCCCAAGATAGGTTTAAAGAAGTTCCAGATTACTCCAGGCCTTGCAGATGATATCTCTTTGAAGTTCATTTTAAGGACAGTGGGAAAGTTATAGGGAGAGCAAAGATCTTTTTTTGTTTGTTTTTTAAGTCACTCTGTCTAGAAAGTAACAAGAGACTGATGTAGAAACAGATGTTGAGACAAATGGGATTCCACTGAACTATGCAGGAGTTGATGAGAGCAGTTTTTATCTAATACAAGAAAGGTCTGACAGGATCTTGACAGGAATCAAGCATTTTCTTAAGAATGTAAGTGTCAGGAGTGCTTCTTGTTATTTAGCTTACCAACTAAAACAAAGGAATTGTCTAACATGCATTTGCTACATGAATGACAATAGATTAGAGCAGGGTGGTAAATTTTTAAAAATTCTACTGCTGTAACTAGTTTTATCAGTGGAAATGAAGACAAATGGAAACTGCACAAGTAAAGCTATCAGGACTTGCTAATGAAAAATGTTGAATAAGAGAAGAGAATAGAAAGTATTATGAAAAACTTTCAGATTTCTGGCTTGACTGTATAGTATGCAGTCTCTCTCTCTCTCTCTCTCTCTCTCTCTCTCTCTCTGCAACTGTTGTTTTCATCTTCATTTCCTCTTTTTTTCTTTCTAAAAATACAGGCAATAGTCAAGTTATTTTCTCCTTTTCGATCTACAACACTTCCTTAATCTTGATTTCATGGAATACACATTTTTTGATTTTTGTGAAATCCTTCATTTTTATCTTCCAAAGACTTAGCTCCAAAGGCAGAATCTTTCATTAAAATGTTAGCTTCCCATTTTCTTTCTGGAGCTTCTCTGGCTATAACCTTGTCACCCCAACCAATAGTGAAACTATGAATACACTACCTAAGATACAATGACTCACTACAGAATATTCTTACCTAGTATACATTAATATGACTACCACCAACTATTTGTAGAAATTATTTTTAAACACTCATATATAGGATCCCACTGTGGCATAAAGGCTTGCCAGTGACACAAAAAGATAATCACAAAATCATTAAAGACAAAACACTGTAACGTGCAAAATTGTAACAATGTGAGGGACTCAAAACCTTTGTTTTCGAATTTTCCCACTGTGCTTTTTTGAAAACCTGGCACGCTGTAATTTTTTTTCATTCATTCGATTAACACTCCTTCTAGCCTCAGACAGTTCTCGCTGAGGCACAGGAGCAAGCCCCCCGCGCCCTCTGCGGGCAGACCCCACTGCAGGACAAGGCCGGCAGCACCGCGCACCCCGGGGTCTTACGGCGCACAGAGCCCGCCCGCTCCTCCAGGCTGCCGCAGGCCCGCCAAGGCGACGAGCGGAGCCGCACACGCCGCAGCTCTGCCAGCGCTTCTCCCCCGCCACCGGGAAGGAAGCTGGCGGGAAGAGACGCGTGAGGAGGGCACTTTAGGGCCTCATGGAGAAGGGAAGGAAGCGCCGTTACCTAGATGCGCCGGTGCCAAAGGAGAAACCGCCGCCTGTGCCGGTCCCGCCGGTGGCCATGGTGGTGGAGCCCGCGGTCGCAGACCCAAAAGAGAAACCTGTGGACATGACTTCCCGGGGTTTGATGCGGTCGACCAAATTAAAGGGGTGCAGGACGCTCCGCTGGTCTCACAGCTGAGGTGGGCCGAGCAGCATCTTCCGAACCCAGCCCGGACCCGGCAGGAACGTCAACCCCAGCTCCTGCGAAAGCAGGCCAGCCCGAAGGGGGCGGAGCAATCACGCCAAAGCACGCTGGACGCTCGCCTCGCGCTCAGGCACGCCGGAAGTGAGCCGGCCGCGCAGGGAACCCTGGGACGGTGCACAGCGCAAGGAACTTCGGGACCTGGTGGAACGTTAGCATCACTTACTCTCTTAAAGGGGTAGGCGCTCAGGGTTCAAAACAAAATACAACTATTTTCCTCTTTCCTACTTCTTCTATCTTGTTTAGTACTTTGTGGCCGATGAACCTCAATTATTGCTTCTATCTTAGCACAACGGACGCGCAGAACGCCAGAGTTGGAGGGGCCTTATTGAGCATCCCCGAGGATCCTCAGAGAAGCGGGTTGGTTTCTAAGTCATGCGGCAGTCCGTCCATAATAATCCACGCACATGCACTCCGCGGGACGGTCGGCCTACGGGGCGCCCTGCGGGCCAATTTGGCTGGGCCCTGGCTCTTCTAGCGCGCAGTTCACGTCTGCAGGGTGCGCTGTGTCCGCGGCAAGACCTGGGGACCAGCGACCGAGCCCTGAGATCCCACCCAGAAGGCTGCTTCCCTGCTGCCTGGGAAGTTCTGTCATCTTGGGCTGATGCTAAAGAAACTGCCAAGTGGCAGGCGTGACAAAAGTACAGCAACAAGTACATTATAAGGTGAAATGCAGGGGTGCATTGAGCGACGTAGGGAAATTGTGGGTTTAGAGAAAGGATGCTGCTGTCTCGCAAACATCAGGAAAGGCTTCCTGATGGTAGTGGGTGAGACAGCTGCAATCCTAATGTGGATCTTTAGCTCTCCATCAGTCATGGTCAATACTCCAACTGGTTTGCCTAATTGTAATGTCTTATGGGGAAAAAATCCGCTCGTCAACAACCCCTCGGAAATTTTCTCCTAGAGCATATTCTCACCAGGACAGTTCCTTGATGAAAAGCCGAGTGGCTCCCTAAATTTGGTACTCCATGTCCATCGTATGACCAATCTTTGGAACATCTCACAACTCCCCTTAATTTCATATTCTCACCTGGACATAGCCACCTTCTATGGAAGACTTTTAATAGATTTAAGAATTTAACAGTTATTTTTCAGATGTACGTCTTGCAAATGTTTTCTTTCATTCTGTAGTTTGTATTCTCATTTTTCCTCACATTTCTTAATTGTAACACACATTTTACTCTGGTGAAAATATCCATAATGAAATAAATTATATGTGTATTATGGGAAGAAATATATGTTTTTTATACCTGCTCCTTAATTTTTCTGCGAACCTGAAACTCCACTAAAAACTATAAAGTCTTTTTTTAAAATAATTTTATTGATAAATAGCAGTGAGAGTTTCAATAAGTAACACACTGCATACATTCTTCTTAGTGGTTAATTGCTGTACAAGATGCGGACTTGAGATCCTATTTACAAATACCATTAGAACAAATCATTCTATTCATTAAGAGAATGTAACTATATATCTATCCTAACTATATTTTGCATTTGAATACACAGATGCAAAATGGACATTCATCTGTATACCCTTTTTTTGTTAAGTTCCGTTATTTGAATATTATAGGTGTGTAAACTCAGCAAAATATTCTAAAAGAGTCCAGTAGCCCATAATAGCATTGGGTCTTCTGTTTAACTGGCAATGTCAGAAATTGTTGACCTGAGTCCCCCACAGCTCAACATAACAGCATGGCTTTACTTCCTATATTTCGTCTTCATACTTTTCTACTGGATGGTTAAGACTAAGGTAAAGCAGGACCTATGCAACAAGAGTTGTAGCTTTTGGAAAACTAAAGTCTTTAAATATGAAAAGAATCTCTTTTTATTCTTGGTGATACCATAGTGAATTCATCATGTTAAATCTGTAGTGCATTATGATGAGTCTAAATATGAATTTGTCTTTATCCCTCTTAGAATTTGTTGGGTTTCTTTATTCTGTAGTCTATTGTTTTCTCTGCAGTCTGAAAAACTACATAATCTTTTCATAAGTCTATCTATCTATCTAACTATCTATCTATCTATCTATCTGAGACAGGGTCTCAGTATGCAGCTCAGGCTAGGCTTGACCTAACTTTTGTAGCCCAGGCTGGTCTCAAACTCATAGCGATCCTTATGCCTCAGCCTCCAGGGTGCAGGTTATAGGTCTGTGTGTCACCACACCCAGCTTCTTTTCAAATATATTTAAATTCTTTAAAACATTTATTTATTGGGGCCAGGGAGATGGCTCAGTAGAATAAGTGCTTGCCTGGCAAGTGCAAGGGCCTGAGTTCAATCCCCCATTTTGGAAAAAAAACAAAAAACAAAAAAACCCACACAACTTATTTATTTGGTACAGGGTCTTGCTCTGCAGCTCAGACTCCAGTTCAGGTTGACCTTAAGTTCACCATGTAGCCCCGATTGGCCTTGAACTCGTGGTGATTCTCCTCCTCATTCAGCCTCCCTAGTGCTGCAAGTACAAGCATGTACTACCTACCATGCCCGCCAAAAAGTAAATAATTTATTTACTTAAATAAAAATGACAGAAAAAGCTCAAGTTGAATTTACACTACTGTACCTACCATAGTTTTCCCCCTACTTAGTCATACAGAATCAATGTTCTTGTTATGTGACACAATATCTCCGCAGGAGGTTTTTAAATGGATGCTCCTACCAACAGTGAATCCTGTGGAAGCAAAGAATGTGATTGTTTCAGATAAGGATACATTAAACATATCTGATTATTTCGTTCGAATAAATTTTAGTATAATTGCTGCTCAAATTAAAGGGAATGTATCGAAATTTAATGTAGTCCACTGGTATAGTGATGGTGATAGAGGGGAAACTCCCAACCTGCTAGATAGCTGGTATGAGTTTGAGTTCTCTAAAACAGAAGAATGAATTCTAGGAACAACAGAGGTTAGCAGAGGTTGAAGAATCTCTTTATTGGGAAAAGAAAGCTGTCTGAGAGAGAAACAGGGTTCAGAGTGGGGGCTGACGACCCTGCCTTTTCAAGGGATTTTTATACAGCAAAATTATGAGGTGAGGGCAGGTCCAAACTGAGGGGAAATGGCTGGCAGGATAGCTCAGCGCACTAAGCGCTTACTCGGGCAAGCACAGGGACCAGGGCTCGATCCCTGGTAACACATGTCGTGCTGGCCCTGTTCCCAGGTACGCTGAGCCGGCCACCGAGTCCAGCTGTGGTAGCGCAAGCCCGTAATCCCAGCGGGGTGGGATGGGGGCGCTGAAAACAGGAGGATCACCACAAGTTTGGGCTGCATAGTGAAACTGTACCAAATATATAAAAAAAAAAAAAGAAAGAAAGACCTGAGTGAAAATGGGAAATCACAAGGTGGGCATGTGGTGGAACGAAACTATGATCAACCGATAAGATTAGGAGCACAGTTGCTCAGGTAGTTTTGATTAAGTGGGATCAAATGGGGAAGCAAGTCATGTAGCAGAAACCGAACAGGGGCTTTTCCTGGAGGTTTGGGTCAGTGTCCCTTCCCGGCTTTCCCAGTGTGGTAGATAATGATTTAGAATATCGATCGCTGTTGTTTATCCTTAGGGGAAGCAAGTGGGTGCCTTCGTTTCACCTTTTGTCTTGAGGTCAGCAGCGGGACCCCCCACCGTTACAAGGTACACGTCTTCCGCCCTGGCTCCTTCGAGAGGCTATCCCTGTCTGACTGCTATACTGTTTCTTCTAATTTAGCTGCCTTTTTCACAGACAGCTTCCCCGTGAAATGCCCTTCATTCAGGATCCGTCCTGAAACGCTGCGATGTCTTCTGTCCACTGGACGCGGGCTTCAGGACAAAGGACTCCCCAGTGGCCTCGCCGAGCCGTCTCAGTCTTCCACCAGCGGAGGGCGCCGTGGAGCCACCTGGCACCCGGAAGACGGTCGGCCGGCTCGCCCTGCATCCGGGCGCCCGCCGTGCGGCTCGGGGAAGGGTTTCTAGGCGACGGCGCGGGCCGGCTGCGCAGGCGCGGTTCACGCCGCCGGGGGCGGGCGGGAGGGCGGAGGCGCTGCCGCGCAGGGAGTGCTCGCTGCCGCGGTGTTTTCCTCCCTGCCGGGGTTGTGTCCCCCGGTATAGTACGCCTGTGAGGCTGGCCGCCGGCTGAGGCCTCCCTGAGATGGAGCACATCCGAACGACCAAGGTAGCGCGTGCGGGAGGCCATCGCCGCCGGCCGCGGTCTCCCCCGGAGGAGGAGGAGGCTGGGCCGGGCCGGGCCTGTGCGGGAGGCGCCCGGGGCCTGAGCCGGGGTCGGGTCGCGGGGGTCCGGGGGTGAGTGCCGGTAGGGAGCGGGGTCTCGGCGGCTCGGGGTGCAGGGGCCGGTCCGGGAGAACTACTCGCTGCCTCTTAGCCCTGCGTTCGTTTCGGGGAATCGGAGCCGCTGGAACTGCGGGGTTTTCAGCCTTTCGCCGCCCCGGCGCGACCCCGAGGCTCTGGGGTCCCCGTGCTAACCTGGCTCCGCTGTGAGCTGTGCTCGGTCCTTTCCCTGGGTTCCTCGTCGGGTGTCTGCGATTAACGATGCAAGTTTTGGGGGAGATCGCGGGGAGTTAATGCCCCACCTTCCTTCTCTAGAGCTTCGGTCGTTTTGGTCTAGTGTTCTGCGTTTGTACTTCGTATTTAGGCACACTTCTCCTGCCAGCGGTTAACAGAAGAATCAGCAGCAGGAAAACATGTCTTAAACGGTTGGATGCAAGTTTTCGGCGAAACTTAGCAAATTCGGTATTTTTGTGTGCGAGAGAGATCTATTTTATGATTTTTGTTACGTTTAAAGATAGAAGGAAATAACTCAGTATTATTTGTTTGACCATAGTTTAGTCAAACTTCAACTTCCGGAGGGAGAAAAACAAATAGAAATTAAAACTGAGTAACATTTTAGGTCAGTTGATGCCTGTAATTGGGAAGAGGCCCGTTTTTGTGAAAGCTGACAGTGTTTGGCCAGAGCTACAGCCATCAGTGAGTTGCTGCTAAAAATCTGATCATACTGGGGCTAAAATTGAGTCATTCCAAAAGCAATCTCAGCCGCTCCGTCATTTTCTCATTAGAA